TTTTTAAACTTTATGTTTGGCTCTAGAATTCCTGTTTGGTAAGTTTCAGATTCGTTGCAACACCACCATCACTCCCAAGCACACGTTGGTCGCATCTCGAATAAATGTAGTTGATCAGATTACATTTATTCCAGCTTACGATTACAAAACTTCCCAGGATTGACGGTAATGGTCAACATCCAAAGAATTTTATATTTTTTGTCTTGTGATAATTTTGTTCGAGTGTTTAGATTCTGGATGTTCTTATACTTTGGTAAAATATGGTTATATTTTAAAGTATAATTATTGGTCATCGTTTTTTTATCCCTATGTGTTTATAGGTTGTATATCTTTTATGAATTGATATACTGAGCTCACTATAAACATTGCTCTGATACCAATCTGTCACACCGCAAAACCGAAACGGTGGAAACATTCTGGGGTGGATGACTTCATGTCAAATATCACAACATATGCAGTATAGTAATCAAAGTACACCAACCATTGCATTAATAGTAATAATTTTACGTAGGTTCCATTTCATAGCATTATCAAAGTAAATACATAACATAACAAGATGCAGCTTGGTACTAGGCTGTCTTCGCAAAAGCTCCCGGGATGTACCTGTCTATCGATGACTTGAGAATACAAGTTATTTTGAAAGCGAGTATCAGCATTTTTAAAATGCCGGTGATTTCATAAGTATTTAGTTTCATTAGTATAATTACACATTTTATTCAGAATGACTTTATGAAAATTAGTAATCTAGAATCTACGGTGTATTAGTGTTCTTTCCAGAAAATCCTATATTTTCTAAATAAAAGAAGTCTTCTACCAAGACCTGAAGGGTTTATGTTTTAAGGAGTAATTTTCCCCAAGCATACAATCATTTCCAAAATACAGTATTGACTTTAAAGGAATAATGAGGAAGTCACAAGTAAAAATACCAGGGAAAAATAATATATACCCTAGCAATAACACTACTGACTAATACAAAAGAAAACATAGACTCCAGGAAAGTATCGTATGAATGATACGCCTGGCTCAGTCTAACACAAGGATACATAGACTCAAGACAGTATCGAATGAACGACACAGCTAGCAAAGTCTAAGACAAGAAGTGAATGTGAACTCGTATGTAACCATGCTGATCGATAATAGAGTATCCAATGACCTTCCAGGTAACGCATAGATGTAGTGGCATTATATCACCCATGGGCCTTACTGGCGCGGACTGTAGCTAGTAATCTGGGTGTGGGAGTGTCAGTCCCGTATAGATCTATACACATGATGTTCGCTCCCCTTCCCGGAGGCTCTGGTTACATGGCGATGGCGCTATGAGGCGTCGTAGAGGGAAATAGTGTGTCACTTTCTAAAGTAAAAAAGAGAGATAGAGAGAGAAATAGAGAGAGAGAGAGATAGATAGATAGATAGATAGATAGATAGAGAGAGATATAGAGTGAGAGATAGAGGGAGATATATAGTGAGAGATAGAGATAGAGGAAGAGATACAGAGAGAGAGAGATAGAGATAGAGATAGAGGGAGAGATAGAGAGAGATAGAGAGAGATATAGAATCTCCTAATTATTCGTATAATAGTTACTAGGGTTCCAAAAACATGAATAATAGAAAGATGCCTTTAATACCCAAAGGCGATGAACTGACTGAGAGAGAGAGAGAGAGAGCTTTTATGTCCACATATGTATACATGATATATAATTAATGTTTAAACAACCTTCGGACGGATATCCGATACCCACCAGACCACATCCTAAAGAGGAAAAGGAAATAGGGCGAACTAGCCTTCCTAAGCCCTTTAAACATTATTTATATAATTATACAAATATAGGAATGAATTTATTGAAATAAAAGCATAGAAGAAAACTTTAGTAAAACCTTTACACTTAAGTAATTTACGACTTGATGTCATTTTGTAAAACAAGCTTTGAAAACCTTTGGAAATCATTTGAAAAACCTTTTATAAACAGCTCTGAAAAGGGTTTTTATAAAACAGTTTAGGTGACGAAAGACCTTTGGAAAACCTTTAATAAGACATTACGACTGGATGTCTCTTTAGTAAACGAACTTTGGAAAACTTTGGATAACCCCTAATGATCTAAAAAGGGATATTCATACTTTAACAATATTCGAAAACATGATTTGAAAATCTTAATCTGGATAAAACAGTTTAACATGCAAAAGTCTAATTTGCTATACAGTTATAAATCACATGAAATTTATCTAATAACTTTACAGTTCAACTTGTATTCTCCCCCCCCCCCCCCCCACTATAAAAGCAGTTAAAATCATTTCAAAGGTTAATTTAGGGGTATGAACTCAACTGTGGCGAGTGGATCGGATGGTAGTGTCGGTCGAGTGCTCGGTGTCAAGTGAAGGCTTGAACACACTTAATGACCTAGTAACATATGAAGACATATTTTTACATACAATTAGTGATTATAATACTAATTAAACACGTATAAGGATCCTAGTGTGTGGAAAACACTTTGGTCAAGTGCTAGGAGGCTACTGGGTTGCAATAAGGGAGTGTATGGCCTAGTTAGGGAGTTTACTCCTCAAGAGTAAACTCTTTATGGACATTTCGGCCCAAAGACCATATCCCCATGAGTTTATGGACGTAAACTCATGGGTGGTGTGTTCTTCGATGCTTAAAGGTCTTACAACACTTGTGGAATTAGGCTAGGTTTAATTCTAGGGCATAGGAAATGGTTAGGTCCTCAAATGCACCACTTATGGGAGTTTACGGCTGTAAACATAGAGTCTACGGCCGTAAACTCTTACTTGTCCCTTCCTTTTGTGTTTTGATGGTTCTAGTTTAAGCATACTTGTTTCTAGTCAATTTTACTAGTCATAAGGGGTTGTTAGAGGCATCATATGACCATCTTATTGAGTTTACGGCCCAAGGACCATTTCCTTTGGGGTTTACGGCTGTAAACTCGATGAGGGCATGGTTTCTTTGATGTTTAAGGTACCTACTTCGATGGTGGTTGATTCTAGACATTAACCCAAGCCATAGGACGTGTTTAAGGGAAAATTTAACACCTTAAATGGAGTTCACGGCCCATGAAGAGGGGTTTACGGTCCAAGAGTGTTCTTGGGCCGTAAACTCATGTTTACTCCTTAAAAGACAATGTTTTGGTGTTCTAAGCTCATACATTCAAGTCCCCAGGTCATAGCTAAGCACTAGAAGTGATTTGGAAGGGTTTTAGGGCTTCAAAACCCCATTATGAGTGTTTTGCGTTTTGGGGTTGTTCTATGGCCATAAACTCTTAACTTTGAGGCTTTTGGATGATTTAAACATGAGTTTGCATGTAAAACAAGCTAAACAACAAGCTAGGATAGATTACTTACGATTTTGGAGCTCGAAATGGGCATTTTTGGATTGAAAGCAACTTGTAGAGAGAGAGAGTGTGTGTGGAAAGGGTGTAAATGAGGTTCACTCACCCTTATATAGGGTTTAAGTTTGTGGCTCGCTGGAAATCTACCCGATACTGACGTTGAACGGGGCTTTTGGTCGTACCCGATTAGGTGGTCGTAACTCGACGGGGCTGTGAATTAGAAACTTTTAAAAAAAGAATATCAAGGGCTTTTCATGTGTTTCTATTGCATTTGGACACTCATGAAGTTATATTAGAAGTCCCAGTTTAATTAACCTAATCCATATGGTTAACGGAACAATTTATAAGAACGAGTTTTATTAACGGAATAGGGTTTACTGTGACGGGATAAATTTTAGGTTGTCACACTTGCCATAGCTCACAACGTGAATCTATCATTCTCACGTCGTGAGAGGCCAATATATATCCAAGAAATCAACTCCATTCTGGTAAACACAGCAATTAATATTTACTCACCGAGAATTTTTGACGTTTGAATTGTTTATTTGCAAAGATCTAACCAATTTCATTCCAATCCGCTCATTTACGTTAGAATTGTTTATCAACACTTAATATTTATCCAAGAAATCGACGTTGTTGATCTCCTTGCTTTTTCAATAAGGGCTATATTAGACAAAAATTTATACAAATCCAAACAACAAGAAGATGTAAATGAAAATATAGGGACAAGCCATGATTCTGAGTAATTTACACTTTCAAATCAATTCTTTAGTTTTGAAGAACGCAATCATGCTTTGAATGCTATATTCATTAGTTTCTATATATATATATATATATATATATATATATATATATATATATATATATATATATATATATATATATATATATATATATATATATATATACACACGTAGGGAAAAGTGAATATACCCTTAAGGGTATATAAGCTTAGGTACCCAAACTCACCATAATAAGTCGTTTTCTTTGATATAATCATTATAATGTCCTTAAACTTCGACCCATAACTTGATTTACTTCCATGATTTTCAAAATTTCACTATTATCTTCCTTTTACATCACATATTTATGCCGAACACCTACTAGGCTATATAAATTATAGTTAAAAATGAAAATTATATAAAAGAAAGATAAATGTAAAATTTATAAAAATCTTAGAATTAAATCAAGTTAAAAGTTGAATTAGAAGAACATTGGACAATTACAATGTGTATATATGATATAAAACGATGTAATATGGTGAGTTTGGGTACCTAAGCTTATATACCCTTAAGGGTATATTCACTTTTCCCATATATATATATATATATATATATATATATATATATATATATATATATATATATATATATATATATATATATATATGATGTTACTCTGTTACAATTTAATTTTATTTGTTTTATTTCCATTTTCATAATTCTTCTCTGTTTGTTTTTCCTTATCTCCCGGTTCACATTTTTGTACGATAATTTTGATTACTTTATCTCCCTCGCCCATCTTTTTCCGATCACGAACTGTTTGAATCCTGGGGTTTAATTGCTACAAAGTGTGTCTGATTTTTTTAATAAAATTCTTCAAATCATAGAAGCTGTAAGGCGATTGAGAATTCAAACAGATGGGAAAGAAGATGGAACTACCATGTCGGGTTCGATGCCCTACCCAGATCATCCAGGTGAACCCGATTGTATATTTTATTTAAGAACCGGCTCGTGTGACAATGCAAACATTCTTAGGTTTAATCATCCAACCTACATTGGACAGGTAATAAAAAAAAACCTTTTATTTTTCTCAATCGGAATAAAACGACTTTTGCTCTTCATGTTTGAAATTTGATTCTTAATCAGGCCAATCAACTTCAACTTGGAGGCGAGCCTCCAGAAAGCGTTGGAGAACCAGACTGTGTGGTAAGTCTCTTTTCCATCATGTTGACGATGATAGTTAGGGATAATTAAGTAATTTCACATCCTTTTTTCCAGTATTTTCTAAGGAGGGGTACTTGCAAATATGGATCAACCTGCAAATACAATCATCATCGTGATAGGAGAGGTGTTGGACTAGTGGTGTTAAACATGGTTGGGTTACCTATGAGACAAGTTGCTATTTACTACTCTTGATTTTCAATTTTGATTTTTCTTTAAAATGATAGTTTAAACTAACTTATAAACACTTAATTAGGTAGAAAAAGCTTGTGCACATTTCATTCTAACTGGATCTTGTAAACTTGTGGTGACATGAAATTTTCATCATCCACAACCATCAATGGATGTATTTAACATTCAATTGCCATATTTATCACAACTACCACCTCTTATATATCAATGGATCAATGGTGGTTCTACATAGTCATTACCTAGGGCAACATATGCATTTGCGGAGCCTTATAAGGCCAAGGGGGGCCTTCCCCCCCCCCCCTCTTAATTTTTTGTTTATAAATAGTGCTTATAGTTTCATTTTATACATTTTAGGCGAAAAAATATAAAATTTTGTTTTGGCCCCCTACTTACCAATTTTTATACATATTATATTTTCTCCCCCTCCCCCCCAAATCAAACGTTGAAGCTCCGCCCCTAAACATATGTTTCTGATCCTCTTTTACAGACTCCTTAAACTTATTTACCAATTGTTCTTCCTCATTCTAAAGGATTAGGCCCACACAAGGTTGGAGCACTTACATTGTAAGGTTAATTGATGTAAATTTTGGGTTTTTGTTTGTGGGTTATGAAAAGTATGATGTCTAAAAGAAAGTAAATTGTAATTTATTTTTTATTGAGTTAAAATATTGTGTCTGATATGGTGTTTTTTTGGTTTTGGGTTTTGGTCAGGGAAGTTTGACCTCCGTAAGTTCGGGCAGCATCTATGGTGGCCCGGGCAGCATCTATGGTGGCCTAGGCAACATTGAATAGTCCTATTCCTCTGGTTCTACTAATCTGCTCGACCAACCTGGGGAAACAGCATGTTGTTATTTTATGAACACCGGAAACTGCAAATATCATCACCTAAAGAAAAAGATTGCTCAATTTGCTGCTAGCTCTTTGTTATAATTATTTTCAATAGTCTATTTGAGTTTAACATCGTAGTGTCATAAATTTCCCTGTTATGTGTTCATTTATATAGCAACATACTTATATTTATTAACCGAAATGTCAACATACTAATATTTTTTGCAGAAATTACAATGTACGTATATTTATTGAGTAAAACAACAAACTACTTACAGAATAATAAAAATAAACTACCATGTATTCTATTTTTTTTTCACTAATGCAAACTTTATATCATCAAGGCTTTGGTTTTCGAGAGCATGGAGGCTAGGACTTGGAAATGCATATTTACAGCTATTACCATAAACATTTTGTGCATTTAAAAATAAACATTTTGTGATGCTCAAAATGAAATTATAATTCGTGATTTTGGTCTTGGTAAGCTATATATACTTTGTATATGCTATTCACAACTCATTATAATCTCTAAAAAACGAAGAAAAATAAAATAAAATAGATAAAACTGCAAAAATGGTCCCTGTGGTTTCTCATTTTATGTGGTTACGGTCCAAACGTTTGAAAAGTTGCAGATATGGTCCTTTTCAACAAGTGTTCTTGTGGTTTTGGTCCCTCATCCGTTAGTTGGCTGTTAACTTCCTTAAAATGACAATTTTACCTCCAGGGACCATTTTCGCAGTTTTATCTTTTAGCATACTATAAGGATCATTTTTGCATACATTCTTTTTTATTTTATTGAAGTATTATATATTAATATATATTATTTTTAATATATAATATTATATATTAATAAATATACTTTTATTGGATTATTAATTTATTTTAGTTGATTTCATTTAATTTTTTTTGTTGGAGTAAATCTTTTTTATTGAACTATTATATATCCATACTATAGTTTTTAATAAATAATATTTATATCATTATAAATATTATATTATTGGACTATTAATTTATTTTAGTTACTTTTTGTAATTCCTTTTTTTAATTATTTTTCATTGGATTATTACTTTTAATTTATTAGTTTATTCATATACTAAATATTGTTTTTTTTTATTATTATTAATTTATTTTAGTTAATTTTATTTTTAGTTTCTTTTTGTCGAAGTAATTCTTTTTATTGAATTATTATAAATTAGTACATATAGTTTTTAATATATAATACTTATATAAAATAAATATTATATTATGAGATTATTATATATTACAAAACATTATTTTGTTTCGATTATTAATTTCTTTTAATTTATTCTTTTTATAATTTTTTTTGGAGCAATTTTTTTTATTAGATTATTATATATCAATAAATATTATTTTTAATATATAGTATTTATATTACAATAAATAATACATTATTGGATTATTAATTTTTGTAATTTCTTTTTTGTTTTTTTGAATTATTAATTTATTGAATTATTACTTTTAAATTTATTATTTTTTAAGATAATAAATATTATCATATTGGATTTTTATTTTATTTTTAATGTATACTATTAATTGTTTTTAATTTTATTAGCACTACAATGTTGCGGAAATACATGAAAGTATCACTTATCATCGTAAAAAAATTGGTAGGATCACCTCTAAACACCTATATCGGAGTTTCAATAGATACCCTACCCTATTCCACCCAGCGTTGCTGATAGCCACCTACGACAACCTCTTCATAATCCACTGGAATCCTTCATATCCCACATAATGCACAACAAACCCTTATAAAAATTATAAGTGGTAGTGGTGACCGAGTGATGGTGGTGATATTTTTCATATGGTTTCTCATTATAAGCTACATGAAATGAAGGTGTTTGGCAATGATCCTAACGATTTCGATGATGAGAGACGACGATTTTATGTATCCCACGATTTTGTGGTGGAACCAATAAAATTAACAAGAAGTATTATTATAAATTAAAAATAAATTAATAATCCAATAAAATAATATTTAGTATATGTAGAAAGTAATAAATTAAAAGTAATAATCCAATAAAAATAGTTTAAAAAAAAGAAATTACAAAATTAACTGCAAGAAAATAATAATCCAAAAATCTAATATTTATTATGATATAAATATTATATACTAAAAAATATATGTACTGATTTATAATAATTCAATAAAAAAAAATTACTTCGACAAAAAGAATAATTAAAAATAGAATTAACTAAAATAAATTAATAATCCAAATAAAAAAATATTTAGTATATGAATAAAATAATAAATTAAACGTAATAATCCAATAAAAAATAATAAATTAAACGTAATAATCCAATAAAAAATAATTAAAAAAAGAATTATAAAAATTAACTAAAAAAATTGATAATCCAATAATATAATATTTATTATGATATAAATATTATTTTTTAAAAACTATATGTATTGACATATAATAATTCAATAAAAAATAATTATTCCAACAAAAAAAATAAACGAAATCAACTAAAATAAATTAATAATCCAATAAAAGAATATTTATTAATATATAATATTATATATTAAAATAATATATATTAATATATAATACTTCAATAAAATAAAAAAGAATGTAAAAGACAAAACTAATTGTCATTTTAAAAAAGTTAACAACCAACTAACGAACGAGGGACCAAAACCACAACAAACTTGTTGAAAAAAATCATATCTGCAATTTTTCAAACGTTTGGACTGTAACCACATAAAATAAGAAACCACAAGGACCATTTTTGCAGTTTTATCAATAAAATAAGATGCATATTTCATGTTCCTTTTATGTTGCCTCCATTGTCTCTACTCTCCAAGAGCTAAGTTTTATGTTGCCTCCATTGTTTCTTCTCTCCAACACCTAAGTTTTGGAAGTCGAAACTGTTGGAACCAGATTTAGAACTTGCGGATAATATTGTAGCAATTGGAAGAAGATTTAGAGGGTGTTTAGCATTTCTTTTTAATCATCTTTTTGACTTTTAACTTTTCGAAAAAGTTAAAAATTACAAAAAGTTGTTGGTCAATTTAAAAAGATCTTTTAAAACTAATTTTTAGTAAGAAGGAAAAGTTGGGTGGAAAAAAAGATAGGAATTCCTATCTTTTTGTGACTTTTAGCTTTTATCACTTAAAGATCATAAAAAACAAGTTAAACACATTTTAAACACTATTTTTTACACAAAGTTCTTTTACAAAATATGTTTTTACAAAAAGAACTTTTATATTCAAAAAATCATCCCAAACACACCCTTACACTCACTAGAAACAGCGTATAATTTGAGGTATTGGTTACATTGGTATTCTCACTTATTTTCATATGCATCAGAAATTGAACAACGATGGTCAAAAATAAACGAAAAAGTGAGTATTCTTTAATTTCATCAGGTATTGTGGTTGTTGCCGTATATGACATTTCAACCGACAAGCACATCATAAATCATAATTACCGGTTTCAAAGGGTTTGTGTTGATTATGCCTCCGTTGACCATCAATAATAAATTTATATTGCAAGATGTGAAAAATATGTGGGTATCATTTAAATGAGCCAAATTGAAAAAGATAAAGTTATTAATCGCGAGAAAAAAAAATCCTATAATTTTAAAGTGCGGATAAACCTAACCTTTAGAAATGAATAGAAGATTTTAATGAAAGCAAGAAAAAAATTATGGAAAATAACGATGTATTATTATTTTTTTATTGATATGGTAGTGGCGGAAAACTTTTGCAAAATATAAAAAAAATCTGAATAAAAGATAATAAGTTTATTTTTTTTATTTGTAATTTATTTAGAAATAACAAGGTATTCTTTTGGTTTACTTTTTTATTTATTTATTTATTTATTTATTTTAAGTGTTACATCACTCGTTTGTTCTTAACATCCATAAATGATTTTTTTTTCTATACGGTAAAACAAAGCAAATGCATAAACTCATCACCTATTTTATTACGTAGGTTGGACTTCTAGAACTTGATTGCTTAAAAACATTTTGCAACTATTGCGGTTGTGACGCGAAAAGTCAAAGTCAACTTTAATATCCTAAAAACAATTGAAAAGAATAATGCTACCCGTTTTCCACTATCAAACGAGAAAGGTCGGTAATGCCCTTCAAATTAGCAAAGTGCTAACCATCAATCAAAAAGTGAAAATATGTTTTAGGTTGACGATCAAGATATATCTTTTTCGGTATCATTAAAATATGTTATTTACAAGTCACTTAGCTTCATGGACTTTGATTAATCAAACATAGAAAAAGAGTTACAAGGACTCAAAGCTGATATACATTGTAGCAATTTGTACTCACTTCACTAAAACGACACCAGAATTATAACATCCCAAAATCCAGAGCCAAATATTTTATTTTCAATTAAGTTATTATAAAACCAACAGTATAATAAAACATTCATAATAACATCGCATGTCAATACCAGAGTGTTAATAATCAAAACATGTAATCATAAAACAATATTAGAATGTAATCCCAAATATCTCATGTGCGGAAAACATATTGTGATGCGCTGTGATCGCCGGCTCGTTTCCTTTGAAAACGGAGTACTTGAAACCAAAGTTGATAACCGTAACCATGGAGCTTAGTGAATTCTTCCATCATACCACAAACCATACAATTGTTGGGTTTTGAGCACTATAACACTCCTATGGTGCACATAACCTAGATGCTTTGGATCTATGTTTTTTCTAATTGTACATGCATTTTTTAATTTTCCAAAGCATACACCCTAACTAGCATACAATTGTAGCTATATAACATAAAAACTAGTTTATATGATTACCTCTTATATGTAGGGTGTAGTTCTTAACCTTTGAAAGCTTGAGCAACTCAAGTGTGATGCCTCTAATGTGCCACAAACACCAAATGCAAGAGGTGGCTAGAGAGAATAAGTTACTTAGCACAAAATCAATATCAGTCTCCTAGAATTAATGAGGAAACCAATTTTG